AATATTTGCATTTATATAGTTAAACATTTATATAATATTTTTAAAATTTGAGGATGATGACTTAAAAATAAACAAAAGTCTAAATAATTGAAAGATATTATATTGTTTCATGTAAATTATTACTTATAAATGAAATTATATTAAAAAATAATCTTTAATTGAAAATTTTAATAATTTATAATATAAAGTTTTCATTTTAGAATGGCTGATAATAAAAATAAAATTTATAATAAGAAACAATGTCATCCAACTCGAGGTAAATATATGAAATATAAAGAGGAAGTGTTACTTGAAGCTATAAACAGTGTTATTAGTTCACCTAAAATGTCTGTTAGAGCTGCTGCTAAATTTTTTAAAGTACCCCGAGCAACTTTGCAGAGCAGGATAAATGGAAAAGTTAAGATTGGTGCAAAAGCAGGAAGAAAAAGTTTAATGCCGCTTGATCTTGAAAAAAAGTTACTCGATTTTGCAGACAACAGAGCTAGGATGGGCATTGGTTTTGGAAAAGAACAATTCTTGGTATATGCTGGCAAGCTTGCCAAAAAATATGGATATTCTTTTAAGAATGGCAAACCATCTAATAAATGGTGGCGACTACTTAACAATCGACATAACAAAAAAGTAACTCTTCTTCAACCAGAATCAACAGCATCAGTTCGTCATCAATGCATGAATCTGATAAAGGTGGCAAATTATTTTACTGCACTTAAAGAAGTCATTAAAGACTGTCAGCCTGAAGTAATATGGAACATGGATGAGACAGTACTGCAGTTAGACTTTAAGGCGCACAAAATAGTTGCTGCAAAAGGTACAAAATATTTACATATGAGAACAAGTGGAAATCGAGAAATGATTACTTTAATTGTTTGTGTAAATGCAGCAGGAAGAGCCTTACCACCTCATGTGATTCCAAAAGGAAAGACAGTAAAATCCCTTCAAAGTTTTCAAGTTCTAGATGCCCCTGAAGGAACCAACTGGAGTCCAAGTGAATCTGGATGGACTAAACAAGGGATTGCAAAACTATGGTTTGAGCTTACATTTTTAAAAAACATTGGACCACAACATCCACAAGTTTAAATTTTAGATGGCCACGATTCCCATAATTTCGTAGAGTTAATAGATATGGCCATACAAAACCGAATTGAAATTGTTGAATTACCTGCTCATACAAGCAATTGGCTTCAACCTTGTGATCAAACTGTATCTAAGCCATTCAAAGTTTCATATAATAAAGCAGCCCAGGATATGATGTCTAATCACCCTGGGGTTATAATAAACAAGGCCAATTTTACAGGACTTTTAACCAAAGCCTGGAATAAAAGTATGACAAAAGCTAATATTGAATCTGGCTTTAAATCATGTGGAATCTTTCCATATAATCCTTAAATTATTCCAGCTGAAGCTTACTTGCCAAACTATGTGTATTCTGAAGACAGGGTAATGACTAATCTCTTTGATCAAATTAAAACAGTTGATAATACAGCAATAGTTAAGCAGATTAAGCAAACAACATACAGCACAAAAGTACTTTTACCAGATATTGAGTTGGAACAACATCTAATTACCAACCCAAGATTTGCTGTAGCAAATGATCACGACTATTTAGCTGAACCAATAACCGTAGTAGAACATAGGAGTGATGATTTAGTGGAACTAAATATGAAAACAATAGAACTAAAAGCTGCAAGTAATAAAGCTACTAGTAAGTTTCAAGACAGCTTTAGGATTATGTCTTACTCTGAAATTGAACAGCCTATTGATCAGCATGAAGTTGATTTTACAACTCTTTTAGCTTCTGACTTTGCAAAAACTAGATCTTTTGCCCCAAATTCCCCCTTTAAAAATTCATCTTATCCAGGAGATGGAGATAATGACATTTTGCCATATTCTTATCCAAATTTTACAAAGAGCAAAAAAGCTAAGAATGCAGACAAGTTTTTTGTGCTTACTTCTAAGGAAGCATATGAGTTACAGTTAAAGCAGAAGCAAAAACAAGCTCAAAATGAAAAGGAAAAAGAAATGCGTAAATTGAAAAGACTACAAAACTTAAAAATAAAGGAAGCAACGGTATTGTCAAAAGATAATCCTAGAAAAAAACCGTTGCTATAAAAATGAACCAATAAAAGTATAAAAAAGCAATGTGTAATTTGATCATGTTGTTATGAATTTTTGTTCTTAGTGTTTAAAAAAGTCTTTTATAGAGTTCACTGAATTCTTTTTTTTTTTAATTTGAGTATTATATTCTATGCAAATCTTTTAAAATAGTTTCAAAATCATTTTTGAATAGTTTTAAAATCATGTCCTGAAAACTTATTTTTTTTTAGATTTAGGCATCCTTACTAAGTTTATTTTTTTATTTTTTTGTTAATTTTTTAGGTGCCCCAAGAAGTCCTTGCGGTCTTATCCAGAGCACCGCGGAAGAGCATTTATTAGGAAGTTCACGCCTCCTTCCCAACCGATGTCGCAAAACTTGCCCAGAGGTGGGGTTTGAACCACGGATCTTACGTTTCTGACGCAAGTGCGCTACCACTGCGCCACGGCTGCTCGAATTATTTTGTTGATGAATTAATTTAAGCAATCATTTTCTAACTGATGTTTAAGATCACATCAAAATAATTATTGGTTCAATATTTAGTAATTCAATTAATTTTTAAATATTTTAAATGCCAACCCATAAAAGTATTATAAAAAGCTTGTTATTTATATTGGCTGTAATTAGGTTCATTCCGCATACGCCTGGCTGAAATTTGGTCATAGTGGCTGTATTTTGGTCAAATTTATATACTTTTTGTAATCGTTGTTCTATCAAACATTTTTTATTTAAAATAATTGCTTTAATTATATCCTAAATGCTGAAAGATTTATCTTTCTAGAAATGTATAATTTTCATATAGACCTCTTTGTTAATATGTCTGTAGAAACAATTTTGTAAAGATGCGGCTGGAATTTGGTCACTTTACCCTACTTTGAGATCAGTGGGTGAAATGCAAGAAGCAAGCTTGACTTGAACTTTACATTGCAACCAATAGCGACAGAGTATGGGTTTTCCCCTCAAAAAATACTCTGCCGCTATTGGTTAAAAAGAAAAGTTCAAGTCGAACTTTTGACTCAAGTTTGCTTCTTGCATTCCACGCTTAGCCTCTTATAAGCTCTACGTGTGCGTAAAAGGTGCGCATGTTAAGTTTTTTTTCAGAATAAATTATTTTACTAAAAAATATTGAAATAGATAAGGAATAGGTTTAGAAATATTCGGCTAGATATAGATATGTAAATTGGTAAGGACCTGTAATTTTCGGATCGGAAAAGCTAGGATATATAATGAAAAAGTATAAAAAAGTTCTTCAAATATAATATTTTTGTATAAATTTAAACTTAATTTAAATGACTTACTGCTTTTATAAAATGGTTTTAACAAATTAATGTCTAACATGCACACCAAAGTGATACGTAAAGGAGCTGAGTTTTATCGCACCAAAAGGTGCCTCACAAGTGAAAACTCAACTCTGATTGACTCGACACGTTCACAAGAATAAGAAAGTTTATTATTTTTCTTTGATTGTTATTATTGATTGCTTGTTGTTTTTTTAATAAGTGTTGTTTTAGTTACACTTATATTTGCGTATTTCATTCTCCCCGAATGTCAGTGTAGAAAAAAGAATAATTTTTACTATTTAAATGAAGTTTCGTAAAAAGCTTTAAAAAAAATTGTTAGATTTTTATATATTTAAAAACACTTCTCTTAAACACTCTCCTTCTCAAAATATTCTCTTTAACGTAAAAAAAAAAAAGGAAAAATCTTTTTTCCGTAAAAAATTAATTAAAATCCATAACTAATCCATTTGACACTCTACTGCAATGAAAATGCTAAAACTTTGAGTGTCCATGAAAAACTTAGCGATTAGTTTAGTTCTTGTGAATGACAAAGAATAAAAACTAAGAAAAACGTTTTAAAAAATAATAATTGGGTAGTACCAGCATATACTAAATGTAATTGTTTGATGATTATCAGCAAATATTAATGTAATTGTTAAATGATAAATCTGCAATAAGAATTTTTAGACTATTCAAAGTATGAAAATTCCGCCGATGTTGCATATCGTTTTCTATAAATCTTCTCATGGAGACCAGTGATTCTTGATGGCCTATTAAAAATTATTGACATTGACATAGGCTCTAAAATGAATTATTTTTTATAGAACTGAAAACTAAAAAGGCGACATTTTATAATATAGCTATTTAAAAGATCCCTTCAGTGATGATTTAATTATGGACAATGTTGTAAAAAAGAAATTTGAAAACATTCTTTTCATTACTTCAAATTTAAAAAAATTACGTTGTTCACGTTAATTATTCTTGAATTAATCGAAGTTGCGTTTTATAATGTCCTTCTGGACCTTAGCCGCAACTAACAGTAACGGTTTTTTTTTATACTAATTTTCATTAGATTTTGTAACATTAACATACATCAATTTTGTTAAGATTAGATCAATTTCCGTTAAGATTACCATAAAAAATGTCCCTCCCTTGTCAAAAAAGTCCTGCCCTACTCCTTGAAATATACTAAGCCTTTGATGTTCTAAAAAACTAACTTTATGTTTTACAAAACATGCTTTCTCCATTATTTTATTCTTGATACATTTTTTATGGTAATCTTAACGGAAATTGATCTAATCTTAACAAAATTGATGTATGTTAATGTTACAAAATCTAATGAAAATTAGTATAAAAAAAAACCATTACTGTTAGTTGCGGCTAAGGTCCAGAAGGACATTATAAAACGTAACTTCGATTAATTAATCGAAACTATACTGGATTAGTATAATCTTTAAGTGCAATAATAAAATAATTTAATTAATAACATTAAAAAATGATATAGCATTGAAAATTAAAATAATAGTAGAAGCCGAACACAGTAGGAATGATGACAAGGTACCAAATAAAGGTTTTTAATGCTACCTATTGATGTCATGACTTACGGAAACAGAAAGAAAGAAAAAAAAAACGATAAAAAATTTTTTTTTTATAAAAGATTTAACACTCTCCACAATCAACTATTAAAACAGGAGATGATGTTTTGCCACTAGATGATCCAACCTTTTCGCATGCATCAATGACTTCCATCCCTGATACAACTTGTCCGAAAACAACATGTTTACCATCCAACCTTAATTTGGATTAAATTTGAAAATAGAAATACATAAATATGTAATAAAATTTCATACCAGAAATTAAACATTAATTACACAACACTTTAATAAAAATAAACCAACAAAAATATATAATTAACATTAAATACTGATTAAATTATACCATGGAGTTTGAGCAGTACATATGAAGAATTGTGAGCCATTTGTGTTTGGTCCAGCATTGGCCATGGATAGAATTCCCTTACCAGTATGTTTTCTTTTAAAGTTCTCATCAGCAAACTTCTCACCATAAATTGATTTACCACCAGTTCCATCTCCTCTGGTAAAGTCACCACCTTGGCACATAAACCCAGGAATGATACGATGAAACTTGCTACCTTTGTACCCAAACCCTTTTTCACCAGTGCACAATGCTCTGAAATTATCAGCTGTCTTTGGCACATCTTTATCAAAAAGCTAAAATAAAGTTTGCTAAAATTTTTTATTGAAATTAAATTTATTGACAGGGTTCATACTACATTTTTTTTCAACATAAAAATGTTTTCGATGGATAATAGGGTAAACGAAAAGAGGGAAATCATAATTTACTATTAAACTAGTTGTTTTAAGCTGAAAGAATAAAAATTTAATAGATCTGCTATTTTAAACTGTTGTAAAGCAGCTACTGTGTGATTAAATTATGATTATAAATATATTTGTGATATTGCCAATATAAAATCATTATAATAGATTCAGTATACTGCAGTATAACAGAATATGGCATGCACATGCATTCATGCAGAAATAGATGTAAACAAATATGTAATCCTAATGAAACTACAAAAACAGCCATAAACAACAATGTAAACCATAATCAAAAAATTAAGCTAAGAAGGAAAAATAATTTAAAAATGATTCCTAAGCAGTATAAAATTTCAACAATCAATTTAAGGATTAAAAATCTAGAAAAAAGATGTAAAAGCTGTTAAAATTCTGAAAGTTTTTAAAATTGAGTTTAATAAAAAAAGTAATGCCACTATTACATATGTATGTATGTGTGTGTGTGTGTGTGTGTGTGTGTGTGGTGTGTGTGTATATATATACACACACATAGTGGTGTACACTGGATTTTTAGATGTTTGAGTTTTGACACTTACACACATTTTGCAAACTCTAAACTTGTGTATGTTTATACTTATGTCAAATAAGAATGTTTTGCAAAAAGTTGTGGTGACTGGAGCTTGGGGACAAAAAAAACTTAATTTTTGGGCCCACTTAGCCCTTAACGTGGGAGCAACAAGTTGATAAAATAATTTCTTTAGTATTTTTATTCAAGTTTATATTCATCAACAAATTTTAAATTTCATGCAATAACCTCTTAGTTTTTAGGACCCTACAAAGTTTACAACCCCCTCAAATTGAGGGGGGTTAAAACTATATATGGTCATAATTTTTGAAAAATTAGAAATTATTGGATGAAATTTGAAGTTTGTTGATGAATATAAACTTAGATAAAAATACTAAAAAAATTATTTTATCAACTTCTAAAAGTCCAGTGTACACCACTATATATACTGGAAAAGAAAATTTGTACATGGATCTTTGAAACTATCACTTGAAATAGCTTGTATAAAATACTTTTAAAAACATAATTTAAACTTGGTTATTTGGAAAGAATCAATCATGGTTTAGAACATGACATTTAGCTACAAATTACACAAAAGATAATACTCATGAGAAGACAATCAAGTAAAAATTGAATTTAGTTTAACAATATTTTGCATTATTTTGAAATAATTTTGCAACTTTGGATATCAAAACCTTGATATTTCTTTAGAATTACTCAACTATGAGTGTATTTAGAAACTGTTAAACATCAAATTCTTAAAAAAGTTTTTAGAGGAAATAAATATCCTTTAGTTATTAAAACATTATAAAAGTAGATTAAGAGTAAATGTTTCTTTAAAAATGTCTTTACAAAGAAACTAAAAGTTTCTTTGAAAATGGCTTTATATGTTTTTGAAATTTTAAAATTATGTTTGAAATTCAAAAAATAACTAAATGAGCATATAAATTGGGTTAAAAGTAACACACATCACATATCATAGCATGTTTTGACGTAGGAGCTAGTTTTTTTTTGCCATTTAACTGTTTTCTTAAAATCATTTAAATGAATTACGATATCTACATTTGTCGTAAAAAAAGTTGACTAAACTATATAAAAGTGGTTACTAAACTATATAAAAGTGGTAACTAAACTATATAAAAGTGGTAACTAAACTATATAAAAGTGGTAACTAAACTTTATAAAATGGTAACTAACTATATAAAAGTGGTAACTAAACAATATAAAAGTGGTAACTAAATAAAAGTGTATTGGCAACTTAACTTAACTAGTAAACAATTTTAAAAATCAATTAGATTAGATATTAAGCATCTTAGTCAAGACTTAATTTGACCAATACAATTATTAAGATAAAATAGTATTTTAAATTCTAAAAAGTAAAAAATACTTCAAAAACAACACGTTTAGCAGCTCCTCCACCAATACTGATATCAAAATATGTTTTCATGATTGTGGCTTTGGTAGAATTAAAACGTTGTCCTAAACGAAAGACACTAAACACAACAGCCAGCTTCCCGCCTCGTGCACTTCAAAAGCGAATGGAACAAGGCCGGACTCAGTTAAATCTTAAAAATTACAGGCCATCACCGGCCGTCTAGAATAATGGAGAGCAACAAAATGTCATATAACCACGATAATTTATAAAAGAGATAAAATATTCACTAAAGGAGATTGTATAAAGAATGTTTCACAAAAATTTCTCGTCACAATGCACTTATCATTTATTTTGTTTGTCACACTCGTGTGACTGTCATTGATGTCTTGCAGCATTTTTGTCTCAGCCATCATGCTAAGATAAAAAATGGTTGAAATAAATAAGGGAGATACTAATCTGTTCAAAGCTGCGTTTAGTTGTTGTATCTGTAGTGAAATATTTGCGTTTTTATAATGGGCCTGAGAGAGAGAGATTGTTTAGACTATGTGATCAACTTGAAGCGATATTAATTTAAAAACAACTTTAATTTCAAAAATATTAACAATTTGTATGTAAAGTGTGCAAACGTGTTGTTATATAAGCGCTTGCGCGTGTGTGTGAGAGTAAAGCTTAAAGATCTCTACAACTGTCATGAACATTTTTTGATAATTATATTACTAAAAAAAAAAAAAGGTTCTTTATTTTTTAGAAAGCCCGAAACTGTTAATTAGCGTAAGCAAAATAATTAAAAACGTAAATAACGTTACCAATAATAACCAATATTGATGATGCTATTTGAGATAAAAATTAATTTTAAAACTATAAATATGAGTATTGTCAATTAAAATTTATTTTAAGCTTCTTACAGCTAAACATACCCAAAACTAATAATGTAAGATAATAGTGAGAACTTGTGACAAAGTGAGGATAGTAAATAGTGACTTTTTTAAAAAAATATGATTTATTTGGTGTAACATTTTTATAAGTGTAATATAAAATGGAAGTTTTTTTTAAAATTTATTTCAGAGTTTCCGTCTTTTTGATATATAGAATATATATATTTAAAAGTATAATATTATATTTAGATATTTAAATATATATTGAAATAATATATTTAGAGGTATTGAAAAAGCTTTGCCTTATTTTAGCAAAGCGAGAACAGTTATATATATATACATATATGTATGTATACAGAACATATATACATAGCTATATTAACTACTGCAATATTGCCTGAGCTAGTACCTACCAATCAAAACTAGACTTAATATAAAAAAAACAAAAATAAGCGTGCCGTATATTAACAAACGCAAATAGATATGCCAATTCTAAACATTTAATGAGGGAACTGAGAGTTCTTAATATCTACGAACAAAATATGTTTAAACTCAAAAATGACCTTGTCCCTGAAGTCTTCCATAACTATTTTCGCCTTATTAATCACAAATATCAAACAAAATACTCTATCAAGAACTACCATATTCCGAAAACCTCTTTAAGACAACTTAAATTCTCAATATCCAGCAGAGACCCCAGTTGCGGAACTCATTTCTAACAAACAAAATAAAAACAATAAACACATTCTAACATTTTAAATGCGTTGTAAAGCAACAGCTACTAGACCTCAATATTAAACAATCTCTTATTTTCAAAATTTTTTCAATCTTTTTCTTGAAATTCTATTATATTACTTGCTTGGTTATTTAATGATGTTCATTGTAAAAAAAATATATATCATATGTATTATAAATATTTTATTATATTTGTATTTGGTTTATATTTTGCTATATTTTTTCAACGACAAAAATGGGGCAAGATGATACGACTATTGTTTTCTACTTGCTCCAGTCATACATTTCACGTTAAAATGTGGTACAAATTTATATTAATAACGACGAATATATATGAACAAAAAAAAAAAAATTAATCTAGCTTGTAGTTTTAATCAGAGCAAAACTTTTAGACATTTTAAACGAAATCAGCTGCAAATGAATTCTTTTAGAGATAATAAACTTAATTAAAAAACATAAGTTAATAAGACACCATAATTTTTTCATAAAACACTGTCACAGTAATTGAATTTAATAAGTAAGTTTTCTGTCAAAGTTCTTATTGGCAAGTTTTTATTTTTACGGGATTGGTTAGAGTGGGAAAAGACAAATCTTCCAAAACTATTTTCTAAACTAATTGCTTTATATATGAAGCATTCAGTTTAGAAAATAGTTAACAAAATGGTTTAAAGAATAAAGATAAAAAGACTTATTAGTTTGTCACAAAAATTAAATCTGATATAAACATACTGTAAAAATTGATCTGATTAAAATTTTGAATGCATTTTTGTTTTTTAATGTTGGCTAAAGTATAAATTAAGAATACAAAGTTGAAATATTTAATAAAACAAAAATCTAAACTACTATAATTGTGTAACTAAAAAGAGAATGTAAATGGTTCTTAATATAAAAAAGCTATAATTTTTAATATTTATTTTAAAATTAGTCCATAAAAAATTGTGCTGAATGGAGGTTATATCCGTCAAAGGTAAAGTAACATTTATATATGAAAGACGGGTTTACTCGTCGTAGCAAATGTGTATTATTTTAAGACTTGTATTTCAGGAAAAACTAAACGGATTTTTCAGTTATGGTCAACAACATTTGAGAACTCTTAAAAAACTTCATAACTAAAACGTTTTATGTTAAAATAGTACAAAATGGTTGTATGTCTTATTGCTCCGACCATTTATTATAAATGTAAGTTTACGAAAACGATTGATTTTATTGTAATTAATTGTTATTGTAAAAAATAAAATTAATAAAAAAAGATATGTACATTATCTTGATGTTTTAAAATCAGTATATAACTTGAAAACCCAAAAGTACATGGAAATGTTTTTATAAATTATAGTTTTTTATTAACGAAGAATTGAAGCAGTGATAAATGAAATGGCATAATCCATAGAGGTATTTTATTGCTGGAAGGAGAACGCCGTTTTTCAAGGATGTAGAAACTACGTAAAGAAAACTGGGGTCTAATAAGGACGCAGCGTTTCTATATGTTCAGTTTTTTCTATAAGTTTTAATAACGGCGTTGACATGACTTTGTTGTTATATTATTTGAGATACTTGTCTTTTATTGATTTTTGTATTTATTAATGTCCCATGAGCACAGACTTTAAAAAGAATCTTTGTAGAAACATAATTTTCAATAAAGTAACGCATAGTTATTATAATTTATAGTTAACTAATAACATGCCGCTTTGAAAAAAAACTTTTACGAAACGATATCATTTCTAAACGTCATAAGCAATCAAAGCATTTCAAATAAAAGATGAAAACAAAATGGGCCGATTCCGATTCCGACTCCACCAATTCGTAATTCTCTTCTTTTTCAACAAACTTGAACAATTCCGATTCTTTAAAAAATTTATTTTTGCACTTTAACGACTTTGTTACTCTTATAAAGTAATACTTATAGGTAAAGGGCGAGTATATACGTCATCGAGACTGACAATTTATTATTTGAATTTGTCAGACTATGCACAAATGCAAGTACTTGATACTTTACTTTTATGAAGTTTTATTTAATTGGGCTGAAATGAATAAACAAATCATCATCACCATAATCATCATCACCATCATCATTATCATCATCATCACTATCATCTAGGTCCATTGCTAATATGTTTCAGTAGGTATCCCTTCTTATAATAGCGCCAGGAATTCTGGTACTGGAAGACTATTAATGCTTGCTATTTGATTGTTTTAAACTGCTCGTACGCTCCATTCTTTCACTTTGTTATATAGATGTCCCTAGGTCCAACTCTTATACCATCTTTGGTTCTTGGATCAAGTAGGACTGCTAAGAGTGTATGAATACTAAATGCTGAAGTGCATTTATACCAGATTGAATCAGAGTTTGCACTGTTGTTTAAAAATTTGATACCTTATTGTTAATATTTGTTCTGTTGCGTAATATTATATAATATTGCGTAATATATATTTGCGTAATTTGAAATTATGAGTATTTACGGACATCGAGTTTAAATCGAGTTTAAATCGAGTTACATTTTAGTTTGCGTAATTTGAAATTATGACTTCGAGTAAAAATATAGTTGTTAAATAAAAAGAAACTTGATTTATTTAGGCTAAACTAAATTGTTCAGAATTTTGTAAAATGTAATCATGTCTTGCTTAAGGCGACGAAATTCTAGTAGTTCCAAACCAAGAATTCTAAGTCTATTTGAATATGAAACGTTATTTAGGTTAGATTATTTAAACGTTATTTAGCTTTCATTGCCCCCTGTTGCTACGCCAGTGTTTATATATATTTATATATTTCAAGTCCCGACTATCGGTTTCTTGTTGCCTTCGGCTTTGTAGAAATGGAGATTTACTATTTATACTCTCATATAAAAAAACTCAGTTAAATATTTGGTTCCATTACAAAAATTATTTTGACTTCACATTTTGTTTCGCTGTTGTCAGTTCTTACTGAACCTTGCAACTAGTTTATCACTAACTTTCAGACTAGCGACAGCTCTGAAACTTTCAGAGCTTGTATAGTCCTATTGTGTTGCACGCGCCTGCTTTTTTGCTACAAAATTTTGCAACTAATTTTTCACTACCCTTAAAAATAGCTAGAGCTTTAAAACTTTCAGCAGTTGTATAGTCCCAATAACGATAGGAATGTTGCATATTAAAACAATTTCCAGGGCCAACGACACAAGGGTGAATAAGTGCCCTTCTTACCCTAACTTTTTTTTATTTTATAAAGGAAAACATTTTAGATAAAATCTTTGAAAAGGATGTCTTTAAAATATTTTAAAATTTACTTGTTGTTATTAAGGTAATAAAAGCGAAAGCTCAAATATAACAGAGCACCTCAAAAAATAAAAATGTGAAGCCGACTAAACATAAAATTATTCTATTTGAAAACAAGTGAGAGCTATTTCTAAGCATTAAATTAAGCATATAATTAAGTTTTAGCATTCTTTACTGAAATAAGGTCTTTTTTTGATTTTAACAAAGGCATTGTTTCCCGATTACGCAGTTGCATTCGTACGTCAAGTTATCTTATTTAAAATTATTATTTAATTCTTATTCATTAAATTACATTTTATTAAAATGTCATTTAATGAATAAGAATTAAATAATAATTTTATTAAAATGCCTTTTAATGAATAAGAATTAAATAATAATTTTAAATAAGATAACTTGACGTACAAATGCAATTCAAGAATCAAATACGTTTAATTAACTAACTAAAATACTAATTATTATGTGATATTGATAAATTTCAGTTGTATACTTTTATAAATAAACCATGACTTTCAAAAAATATACTTTTTAAAATTTTTAAATAGTATATTTTTTGAAAGTCATGGTTTATTTATAAATGTTTACAATTGAAATTTATCAATATCACATAATAATTAGTATTTTAGTTAGTTAATTAAACGTATTTGATTCATAACACGTTATTAAATATATTTATTATGCTGCGTTTGGTAAAATTTTTTCCACTTAGAACTGTTTCAAAAGTTGCGGTGCGAAATAGGTTCGCTTCGAAAGAAATTTGGTATTTTATCATTATTTCAAAAAATAAAACCTTGAAATGTTAATTTGTTGCAATACTGAAAATAAAATTTTATTATAAACATTTTGGTATATAAAAATTTTATTTTTTACAAATATACCCGCTTGGCCAACAAACTTTCTTTATACACTTGAAAACGTTGTTTAGGGAAAGAGCTCGTTTCGCAAGTGTGACTTCCGTAAGCGCTACTTTCGTATGTAGCAAATAGTTTTATTTTGTAATTCAACTTGCGAAAGGCTACACTTCGTAAGTAGCATTTGCGAAATGAGCATCAATGGTTTTCATTGCTTGAGACATCTTCAATACTGCGAAAAGCTAAAAAGATTAAATCTACCACCACTTGAGTTTCGGCGCCTTCGATGAAATTTAGTCCCAATCTTTAAATTAATATTGTTTAGATATAATTTTAATATATATCTTCCAAAGTCTATTAATACCATTTCAAAATAAGGCATGAGTATGTTCCAAACGGCCCAATACACAATCATTTGTATAAAAGATCAGCAGAATACTGGAACGAACTAACTAAGCAAATAACTTTCTACTCCACTGTACTTTCTTTTAAAAGTAGGCTAGACTTCTGGTTGTGGTAAAAATTTGGAACAAATATTTATAAAACTAGTTGTTTATTGTGGGGTGTTTTCCCTGCTCGCTATATGTATATATAAAATTACGTAAATTTATATATATGTATACATATATATAAATTTACGGCTACTACTATAATAAATAATAATGAAATTAAGTATGTTAGTGTTTGCATTATTTTAATAAACTTAAAATTTTCATGCTACGATTAAGCTAAAAAAAAACAAGATTTTTTCGTGATGTTTTAAGACAAAATTAAAAAATGATCAGTTTTAACTCAATAAATAACTAAAATTCTTGGCAAATATAGCCGATTAATAAATATGTACAATATTCACATAAAAAGCAATTAAAATTTTTTTGTAACTAAAATACTGTACAGTAAGAAAAAGGTGCATTCAAGAAAATGAAGCGTAGTTCAGAGTGTTGTATTCTAACTAAACAAAACCTAAAAATACGGTAAGCTTATAAAATTTTCACACGTACAAAAAAAAAAAAAAAAAAAAAAAAATCGTAGTTAAGTTTAAAGTATTTCTAACAAAAGCAAAAAAGCTTTAAAAACGCAAGAAAATAAAATATAATAATTAGGAGTTATAATGAAAAAGAAATTAAATGAGAATTATAATACAAAAAAAAAAAAATGAAATTAATCGCATTTAGACGCAAAAAAAAGTTTTTCATTAATCTAAATTTTAAAATTTTAACTTTCTAAGAATTAAAAACTTTTGTTTTAAAAAAAAATACTTTCACATGCAACTTGCAGATAAAAAATTGCTAATTTTTGTGTTTTCTTTTTTTTCGGAAAAATGAATAACAAAAACGAAACATTAACGTGTTCTGTTTAGCGACCGGTAAAATGCTCTAGAGGTAACAAAATTATTGTCACGATTGCTATAAAGGCAACTAATCAATAAAGAATTATAACTATAAAATAATTAAGGATTCAATTTGATTCATTTTTCAAAACAGTTACCAAATTATTAAAAAAAAACTAAAAGAAAAAAAAAGAAAAAAAAAAGGAAAACTCACTCTCTATCCGCTTCTTTAATAGCCTCATTTAATGCCTTTCTTTCTTCCCTTAATGTTTCTCTAAGAACATCTAATGTAAGGTCACTGTCTGAATCTGTATCTAGCGAGTAGTCTTTTTTTCGAATTATATCTTCTATGCGCCGTTGGATGCGTGTTGAAGAGCGCAGCGCAGCATTAAGATTCGGCGAAAATAAATTCCGACGTCTAAATTCAAAATTTATATATGCACAAAATCAATTTGTTGAATATCTACGTTTTGTAATTTATGCAAAAAATTTTATTTATTAAGGAGATGTTTAAAAGCAAATTTAAGCAAATAATTTTATTTATGATTAAAGATAATTGGAAACAATTTTAACTAATAGTTTTGTTTAAAAAAATCATTGAAAACAAACTGATGCTTTTGAAAAAAATTCGAAATTATTGGGGATTTTTTTCATTAGACAGGAGGACCGCATTTTTAAAACACATACTATAAAAAAATACTATAAAAGCATAGTATAAAGCAATAAACACATTTTCGATGAATATGTACCTATAGTTACTATACAAGTTGAGATCGTCGAAAGCGTATCCTAAACTTTTCACAGGAGAATAAACAGGCTCATAAATTTGGGGAGCTGTTGCTGAGCGGTAATGCGAACCTATTGTCGGCGTTAACGAGTAGTCTCTTAAAAGTTTTCTTGCTATAAAAAAATTTTTTTAAATTGTTTACACACATGAACATCACAAATAAAATAAAGCAGTTAAAATAATTTTAGTAGAGCGTAGTGAAAAAAGCTATTATGATTAAATAAATTTAAAAATCTTTTTTTTGTTATGTTTGTTGTTTCAAAAAAATTGGATTCCCCAAATACCAACCAGATTAGTTTAAATAAAATTTTGAAATTAAATTATCTTATAACTTTAGTGGGAACTTTAATAGCTTTAAATATAAGTTTTTAATTATATACTACAATCTCAATTTTGGACTACGTAATTTATAATTTAGTAAATGAAAACAAATAACTACTTACAAGGTATTGATTCGACTGATTTTGAATTTTCTTTATCAAGCTTTCCATTTGATTTTGATCTTGTCAATTTCGGTGATGCTGACCGTGTTAATGCACGAGCAGGAGAACTGGATCTTCTAGTCTTTGGTCGAATAAAGGTAGAGAAATTACGGTTAGATAAAACTTTACCATCAATATGACCAACAACAAAATCATTATTAACATCAGAGTAGCTATGTGACCGTTTTAAAGAACATTTTTTCACTTTTACAGTCCTTTTTTCAGTTTTATTAATACGACTAGGCACCCTCTCCGCATCATCTTTCTAAAGAATTTCCAACTCCAAAGTTATTTTCGAGATATTAGTGATTTTAGTTTTTTTTTTTTTTTTTTTGGCGAGGCTTATATACTAGAAAAAAATGTTTGAAGTGTATATGCTAAAAGGTTAAAAGAATTAGCATAGCAACTAATTTAAGCACCACCTTAAATAAGGGTCGTAGAAACCATTTTAAAAAGTTTTTGAGTGCTGCAGTGAAACCTTGATAAACCTGCTTTGTTTTACTTTCTGTGCAGTAGAATCTAATAACTTATTATAATTATAACTTATTGATTCACTTTTAAACTATTAATTTTTTTAAATTAATTATCTTTTTTTACTAAAATATGTTTTAATGACAAAGGCTGGTTACTGCTTGCTATGGGTGAGCTTTACACCAGTTAATAAAACAAAACAAAAGATTTTTATCGTCTTTTGTCCATTTTAAATTTGTGTAAATCTTAATACTAAAAAAATATCATTTTAAAATAAATCTGTCACATCTTTATTGCATTAAAAGACCTGATTAAATAAAAACACATTAAATCCTAATACATTATTCTTTTTCTGTTTAAACAAATCCAATAAAACTAGAATATGAAGAAATATATGCATTTCTTTAACACTTTTTTTAGAACAAGTATTTTTATGCCATATAACGATTTTTTACCAACTACTTCCTTGTTTTAACATTTACATATAATCATGCTAATTTTTAACCTTTTAGTATAAATACTTCAGAAATTGTAGTGCATAAACCATCTAGAAAAGTATGACTCACCAGTCATCAAAAAAGTAAACTAATCCAACACAGAAAACTTTCAAAAAATTGTCAGGAAAGTAATGGATAATGAAAGTAATAGTTGAGAAGAAATAGAAAGATGTCTGAGAAAAAAAGTTGCGACCCCCAATAATAACATACATAAAACAACTATTAAAAAAAATTACCTATAATTGAAAAATAAATTATTAGACCATCGAAAATGAATGTTATTAGACCATAAATGATGAATTATTATCAGAACCTGAAAGATAACTTATTAAGATAAGCAGACCATTAAAAGATGACCAAGATCAGGGTCAAATTTTATCAATAATAAGAGCAGAATTCTATGTACTCAGCAAACATAAAGAAAAAAGAGAGCATGGAGGGTAGTCATCTGAGACTAAGAGCAAAACTCTAAGAGGAAAATACACTTTCTTTATGCTAACTTTTCATATTTGTATGCAAGACTCAAAATTAATGCTAGAGCTATAAAAATACAGAAGTATTTTCTAAACTTTTTGATAAAATGTTTATCTATTTCACAGTGAAGGATCCAGGGGGGCAGGGTATGGGGGTTTCCACCAGAATCTGAAAAGCCCTAAAATATCTTAGAAATGGAGGACCTTTTTTTTTTTTTAGGAGCACCAAATGTGTTATAATTATAAATATTTGAACAAATTATTATATTAATATTTAGAATGTATCAATGAATGATGTTTAAACTAATATGCCATAACTGCAAATATTTGAACAAAATATTATAATAATATTAAGAATTTATCAATAATGGTGTTCAAACTAATATGCTATAACTACAATTATTTAAAATAAGTATTAACAGTAATTATTATTATTCAAAAAGGTGCTAATGATTCTTGCTAATGTTATTATTTAACAGGTTTCAATTAAAAACCAGAGCTTTGGTTGGTCTTTAAGGAAAGGAAAAAATGTATTTCACACTCTAGAATAGCAGACGAAGGCAAATGTCTAACATTCTTGCTCTTTCCCTCTGAACACACAGAACCAAGTCTCAATTTATTGAAAAAACATTTCTATAAGATCACAAATAATTTTATTTTAACCCTTTCATTAACCGCAAAAACCTCAAAACAAATAGAAAATAAACCATTTTACATTCATCACAATAAACTAATACAAGCACAAGTGTTAAAGATACTTACTGTTAATGATAAAAGGCTGTCAGCAACTTCTTTGATTATTGTCTTTGTAGAAAACTCAAGCTTTACTGGTTCACCCTTAAAAAAATGTGATGTAATAAACTTTTATTAATTTGTACTGAGTATACATGTAAAGTGCCAAATCATAAAAATAAATAAACAAAATGAAAGGAATATAACATAACTCCAAAAAATTGGAAAAAGAAAACCGTACTGTAATTCTAATTGGTTTAAATTTGGATGTTTTATACAGTAGAATTTCTCTACCAGATCCATAGTATGGAGGAATGGAAGGGTATAAAAAATCATGAGTGTTGCTGCTACAATGTGCTATTACATTTCCTTCTATAGATAAAAAAATAGTATTATATACATTATTATTAAATTATGTAATTCATTTTTTATATAAAAATAAAATAAATAGAATGGTTTATTCAAAGCAAAGTAATATATGGCTATATTCAAAATTTGACAATGAATTTATGTGGACTTGGTAATGTTTTTATTTTGATGGTGAAACTATGGATTTTAAATCATTTAATTTTGACTGTTTACAAAAAATTTTATTAACTAAAATAATGATAATAGTAGTTAAAAAATAAATTGTAATCACATACATTTTGCCTGCAAAATACATTTTTAAAAAAGTGTTCAAATCTGATGTAATTGTTAATAGATGAATAATGAAACAGCACAAACAAATTAAATAAACAATTTTTTTTTTCTGATTATATTTATTATGATAACAGGTTGATTGGTTAGATAAAATTGTAACATTTTTGTTTTTTATTAAAATTTGTTAAACTTATTTTGTTTATTTAAATTTTCCTGGTAAAATCCTATTTTATATATATAATATATATACATATAAAATAGGATTTTTAAAGGAATTAAAATTTTGGAATGAAGCTACTTCATCTTTTACCAGGAAAATTTGAATAAACAATATATATATATATATATATATATATATATATATATATATATATATATATATATATATATATATATATATATATATATATATATATATATATATATATATCAAACAAAGCTCCTTCACAGACAAACATGTTGGAATTAAACATGGGATTGCACTTATGCTTTTACTATTGTTTACTTTTAAAACACGTTAGTAATTTAATTAGTATTACTAACAAATAACAGGATTTTTTGTAATAAACAATATTAACAAATAAAGTTAACAAAGAAAATCATGATGGTATAATAAACTTTATTTTAACAATATGTACAAAAAACACAAATAAAAATAAATAAAAAAATATTAGAATAATAAAAAAAAAATAAAGTTTACAAGTAAACCATGATTTATTAATAAATTATGCTATAGACCCTTGTAAAACAACTCGCATAAACCATAACTGAATAAAAATATAATTAAAATAAATCTGAAATCTCACTCACCTGAAATGTAATCAGTTTGCTGAATCAACTCAATTACAACATTATCTCCTAAAAATATTTTCTAGATGGTAATATTTGACTATTAAAGTAAAAAAATTATAAGAAAATAAACATGAAACATAAAATAAACATTGCTAATGAACATACACAAATCATGTTCGTTTCAATCATTTAAGCAATAATGATATCATTTATTTTTATTCCCCGACAAAAAACATCCATTTAATTTGCATTTGGGTTAACCTTATCCTCTTCATAAGCAAGTTAGTATATGTGCAGTTTTGTTGTCAGTATGTATGTGTACTGTAAATGTTTAACATCATCCTGTATAACATAAAATACAAAAAAATAAAAATATATACCAGTTCTATTGTTGTCATTATTATTTATAATACTATCCTCACTAAAAAACTTCAAAATAACTAATACAATATAAATAACAAGTTTGAAATATTTTGTATATATTGTAAATGCTATGCAATACAGTGGAAAATTTTTTCAAAGTATGTTTTGCAGCATTTAAATGTTGTCAACTAACTTTTTAGTTTTCTATTATTAACTTGACTAAATTATTAGTTAGATTATAGTTGACTATCTTGTTAATTTGAATGAAAGCAGTCTACTAAAAGGAGATTAATTTTACAAAATGCTTAACCACTTAAAAATAGCACACTCTAAGTTTATCAAAATTTTTTAATAAAAGTTTGTTCATTAAAAACAAATAATAGAACTGTTTAAAGGTTTAATAACATTATTATGAGAATATATTTATTGCTTTCAAAATGGAGATTTATTTTAAGCACTATACACAATTGGATTATATTATACTTTAGTGTGAAATGTCCAAGGTTTCTTAGCCAAATAGTCAAGCCTGTTTGTGTTAATAAACCTGGTGAAAGTAAGAAGTTGCTTGCATGTTTGCATATAAAAGTTATATAAAGACAAATTTTTTTTATTTTGGAATACTCAAGTTTTGATAATCTATATTTGCATATAAAAGTTTTATAAAGAGAAACAATCGATAGTTTGGTATAGTTATTGTTGAACTGTCCCTGACAGTTAAAAGAGCCCCTGACAGTTAAAGGTACATAAATTAAATGTTATTAGAAGTTTGTCTGTATCAACTTCAATATATAAAAATCTGCTTGTCTTCTACTGCTGTTTAGATTTTGGGGTATGTTTGTATTATAATGTTTTTACTAATGGTTTAATATATATATATTTTTTTATTATTATTCACCTCCCCAAAGCCCGGGGGGGCCACTACAGTCGAGGAGGCTACTCATTTTTTTAAATTTTTTTACTTATTTTTTTAAATTTTTTTTGTTGTAAATCGTGTTACAACCCTCTCTCAACTCTTTAACTCCGAAACACGAACCTTGACAAGCAAGGCCGCTGCGCGGAGAAATTAAGTTGAGCGCGGTACTTCCAGGGACATGGTGGGAGTTGAACTCCTTACAAAGCAAGCACTTTTACTACTACACCACTACCGCATATTATACCAGTATTTCATTGAATATTAATTATATTTTTCATATATCAATTCTATATTATTTATATTGTTCATATACCAAATACATCATTTAACCTTATTCTATGGGATACTAATGTAATATTAAACCATTACAAAAAAACATAATTCAAACATACCTCAAAATCTGAAACCCAGAGCCATTTTTCATGCCAGTTATTTGAAACCTAAATTTACAACTTTGTTTTTGTTGTTTGTAGATGTGAATTGGTTGATGTCAATTTTACATAAACTTGAGGTTGACTTGTGATCAAATGTTTTTAAAATTTGTGATTATTTAACAGCATGTGAAAAGGGCTTATCAAGAGCTTGTTTAAGTATTTTTTTTTTGTAACAGTAGGGTTCTAAATTCTCTTTTCACAATGCGCATAACCATTAAGTTTTCATTTCTATATTCTATTCCTACGTTTCCTTTGGTATCTTAGTTTTTATATAACTTTATTTTGGAAAAGTAATTTCAGCAGTATAAGTTCCAGTTTCAGCAAACAGCCATTCTCAAAGATTTTAAATTGATTTTTATTGATTTGAATAGAAAATTAAATTATTTGAATGAGAGCACATTTCATTAAAAAATTTTTTTTCTTGAAATGCATGTCACTCATCAAATAATTAAACATCTTGATTAATTGTGGTGCCATATTGATTTTGTAGATGTATAATATATTTATTTTTCAATAATTTTATTTTATAATTTTTTTAAATTTCAGATTTCTTTTCTCTAGGAACATGTCAAAAAAATTTTATGCTCAAAAAAGTTTTTTTTTCTTAAACCTAAATGTAACACCATCGAGAACACATTTTAGCTGACTATAACTTGAATAAACATACAAATAATTAATTTTAAGCTTGTATGCAAATCAAATAACATTAATTGCATTCCCCATAAAAGCCAACAATGTCATGGAGTAGATGCTTTAAAAGTATTCTTACATTTAGAACAACTTAAAACTAATAGTTGTAAAGAAACCATTTTTAACCGATGGAAATTCACTGATTGAACTAAATTATTCATGCAATCAGCAACTGATGCCATTTTTTAATGTCATTTTAATTCATTTTATGGAACGAAATGGTTGGAATGGTTAAAAAAAACTAATTTTGTTTAAAATGACATTACAGCTAAATTTAGGCATACACACATGATCAATTAGGGATCATGTGCGTATGCCTCCGAGCATATGTACCATAAAGTACATACGCTTAGAGGGGAAGAGGGGGTTTACAAATGGCCTTGATGAGATGGGAGGGCAGTGGGTCAATTATAAAAGAAAACAGACACTAAATTTAAAAAAATATTATAAAATGTTAGATAAATAGGTTAAGAACATAGATGTTTTAGGGAGGCGGAGGCTCAAAAAATCGTATTGCAAAATGTATATGTGTGTGTGTGGTGGTGGTGGTGGGGGAGGGGATTGGACAAAAAAAAAAGCATTATGGACGACCCCTTATGAAGCTACATTTCTAACTATCAAAAATGCTTGCTAAGTCAAAGTTAATTATATATTATTCTCTGTTGAAGCTCTGCTAAAAATGTGCATTTAGATAAAAATAATTAAATTATTAACAAATAACTAACTATTTTTATGTATAACTTAAACCGTTGTAAAAAAAAAAAACTGTTAGCAAAAAATTATATTTTTAAAAAGATCAATAATAAAAAGGGCAGAGTAAAAAAATTTTTGTCTATTGAAAAAATTTTAATAGATTCCTTAATCTAAAACTCACTTATATAACTTTCAGGCGATCGTATTTATGGAGATATACATAAAATTAGAAAAATATTTTTTGTGGCTTTAAAGTTTTAAGTGGTACACTTTGTGGTACAAAGGAGCTTTAAAGTTTTATGTGGTA